CCCTTTGGGAACCCATTAAGAGGATCTTTTTGCTTGCCTTGATGTGTGCTGCTTGGATGCTTTACCATGTACAGACTCTGACTTGTGAGCCCATTTTAATGATATCAGAAAGCAAAGCAAAATAAAACAACAAAAACAAAGTAAAAAAAAAACCCAAAAAACAAAGCTAGATTCTACCAAGAGTTTCCTGAGATCAGTACCATAATTACATTTTAGACCCTTCAGGTATTAATCTTCTTTGTTCAGAAAAGCAATTCCATTTTCCTGGCATGATCTCTTAGAAATAATACTGCTTCTCCATAGCTCTTTTTTATTTTTTGTCCCAAGGGAGAAAGAAAGACAAGCCTTTTTCTTTTTCACCTCCTTTGCTCCTACAGCTCTTTTGTCTTTTAAAATGAATGTTTATTGATGCTGTAAAAGGATTATATACAAAGGGCTAAAGTGAAAATATTTTAGACTATTAACGGCAAAAATAGTGTTTTTAGTACTTTTGACACTCCTTGTTTTCATTAGTTTATTTTAAAATATTGTGTTTGTTTTGCAAAGATAATTTTCATCTTTTCTGAACATTGTTATAGGCTAGTTACTGTTATAAATACTTGATCTGTATGAACAGATTTGAATTTTATTAGAATTCTGTAAAATAGTTATTATTTTACACCATAAGACTCTGAGACATAGAGATACGAGAAAATTCACAAAGGCTTACAGCTGTTAAAGGCAGACGGAAGATTTGATCCAAGGTAGTCTCACTCAACCTTGAAGCTATATCTTGCTGATACATAAGTATGCCAAAAGACTATAAACAATTAGATATTTTGATGCCTATCATGGGTTAAATAGTGTCCCCATAAAATTTATGTCCACTCGGAAGCTCAGAAAGTGACCTTTGTTTGTAAATATGATCTTTGCAGGTGTTATTAGTCAAGTTAAGATGAGGTTGTAATGAATCAGTATGGGACCTCTAACGAATTCTTATAAGGATAGGGAGATTTGGAGACTCACAGACCTGGAATGGGAAGATGGCCATGTAAAGACAGAGGCAGAAGTTGCAGTGACCAAACTAGTGATCAATCTACAAGCTAAAGAATGCAAAGGACCACCAGCAGCCACCAGAAGCTAGGATAAGGCAAGAAAGGAGTCTTCCCTAGAGCCATGAGTGGAAGCATGACCCAGATGTCACCTTGATTTCACATTTCTAGTTTTTAATAGTTTGTACCACAGCCCTAGGACTAATATATTACCCTTGAAGTCTCATAGCTTGGTAAAAGAGATAGATTAAGAAATAAGTCATTAAAAAGTGGAATGATGAGATATATAAAAATGAAATATTCAATTTTTTACCTAGAAGTCTTACAGAGGAGTGTAATGATGGATAAAGGAGGATAATACCATGTATCCCATAATGATAATTTCTTTTATTGAAGAAACGATGTAACGTGTTACTAAGAGTATGGATTCTGATGAAAAGACTGTCTGAGGTTGAATCTTGACTGTGACATTTATGAGCTGTGTGCCCTTGGCAAGTTACTTAACCCCTTGTACTCTTGTTTAGTTATACATAAAACTATTTCTAGATACCTTCAACTTTTGTGGTTTTATGTAATTCTCATAGAAGCCCTGGAAAAGTGTGATAATCGCACACATACCATCATCTTCATTTTACAGAAATTGCCATTAGACCACAGTAACTACAGGCAAGGTCTACCTCAATGATGGCGGACCAGTCCTTTAACTGTGTTGTGCTTTAGTTTATGTAAAATAATGGTAATGGTTTTCATGATGGTGATGCTACTAATGGTGTTGGTGATGATGGTTATTAAGGACTGAAGACCTATTCCATGCCTCACCTCCTAGTGGAAAGCCATTATTCTCCATTTCTCACCAAACCAACTGTTTCAAGAGAAATTGAGTAAAGGCCAAGGCTGTCATCATTGTGCTCACAAGATGATTTGATAGAATCTATGTGAAAGCAATCCATAAACTGTACTTATGCTACATCAATATTAGTTATATATAGCAGAAGTCCTCCCAGTAATTTCCACTATTGGCCCTGGTTATATCAATTGAAGCCTTTTTAATGTTTAAACCAGGAAAATGTTTTCCTTTCTCTATTAAGTTAAAATTAAACAATAAAAAACCTGGTTATCAAGGAAGTTTGTTCAGATTGTCTCTAGATACATTTTCACTCTCAGCTAGCATTTTTGATTGTCAGATGATGGTTTCAAATTACAGTAATTAAAGTAGAGCACACAAGGAAGGACTCCATTTATAGGCCAGAAGTTCTGAATGCTATCACTAGTGAAATAAAACATTAAAGGTTGGTGGAAGGGAAATCAGTACTAATATTATTCAGTATCCATTAATAGCAGGTAGTAATCAATTTAATGCTCACCTGCAATTGTATGAGGTAAATATTATTATGCTTCTTAGTATCTGTAGTCCTGAGGCATTAAAGTTTTATCCAAGGAAGAAACAGAAAAAAAATTTAAATTTAGATGTAATTCCAAACACTATACCTTTAACAACTTTTCACCTGCCTTCCAGAAAATGGGCAAATAATTATGTGGAGTTAGAATAAGTTAAAGGAAATAAATTCCATTCATAAATTTCTCTACCTGAAATATATCGGGCAATAGAATTTAGGGGATGTGAGTTCTGAGTCCAAAGGTATATGAACATGCTATGTGACATAGGACATGCCACTTTAACTTTCTAGATCCCAGTAAGGTATGATATTTATAATCAAGTAATAGTTAAGTATCATATTTGAATTGAAGTTGTCTGTTAAAAATCATCTTAATCTTCTAACTATGCCAAAAATATTATAGATGTGCTTTCAGTGTGTTTTGGCTAGGCTGTTTTGTTCCTTTGTAAAGGCAGAGATGATCTTGAATAATTTTGTCCTGTTGAAATGCAAATAATTCAGCACCAAGATCAGATAATCCTGAAGATTGCTGTTTATAACTGTGGTAGGCATCAGCTAGCTTTGTATCTAACCTGAGAAACCTACCATAATTTAACATTGCTTATGAATAGCTAGTTTCTCAAATGCTCTTTGAACTGATTTTGACATTATTTTTCATCAATTTGTAAGCTAAATATTATTTTTGATATTTGTTAGTTTTGTACTTGTTGGAGAATTATGATTTTATACTTTTGAAATGTTTAAGATTATTTAGATAAAAAATACCAAGTCTATAATCTTTTATGAAATATCTCCCTCTGCTTCCTCAATCAAAAGTTGAGACTTCTTCCTAGTGTTTTGGAATCTTCATACCAGATAGCCAATGCAGCAATAGAAGTTTAGTATTCTAGCTTGAAGAATGATCCTGTTAATTAAGGGAAGCTAAATTGCTACTAGATAATAATGATTAGGAGGAATACACCTGAAATGCAGGAAATTTCCCAGGTACCTTTTAGAACTCCCATGTTTTAGAATGCCCATGTTTTCTGATAAAAATCCTTGGTAAAAGACAGCAATTTAGCAAAGGCCTGGCTACTTATATCCCAGACGCTTGTAGATCTGTAGAATTAGGGATTTTTGAACACATCCTTGAAAATATTTTTCTAGTGCAATTCCTTCATTGTTACAGACTCAAATCTACTTAAGTTTTGACTGCAGTTTTTGTCTAATTGGGTAATATTGACTTGCTCAGGTCCTACTAAACCTTCCATACAGGCACTCAATTAGCTTAATAAATATGAACTATTCAATTAATAACTGAATAAATGATTTATTGATTAGATATCTACTAAGTGTCATGCATAATTCTAAATCCTGTAAATAGAACTGTAAAACAATTTCTACATTTTTACCTGGAGAAAGAGAAACAGATAGACAGCAATGCCAATTGTCAGAAAGTGAAAAAGCTTAATGTAAATATAAGACAAAAATTGGAAATAAAGCATAATGGTTGGGGGGTACTAGTTCATACAAAGTGATCAGAGAAGGCTTCTCTGACAAGACATTTCAGTAGAAGCCTGAATTAAATGAGTGACTAAGCCTTCTATGTATCTAGTGCAAAGATTGATAGAGTACTATTTGTAGGTCAAATCTAGTCTGCAGCTTGCTTTTGTAAGCAAAGCTTTGTTTTATCACTGATTTATCTGTTTGTTTATATATTGTCTATGACTACTTTTTTGCTACAATAGTGTGGTTGAGTAGTTGTGGCAAAGACTCTATGGCCTGTTAACCTTAAATCATTTACTGTCTAACCCTTTACAGAAAAGGGTTGCCAACCTTTACTCTAGAGACATAGAGACTGCCATGGCAAGTACCAGTGGCCTATGGAAAAAGTGTGCTTAACATGTTTTTGTATTGCTAAGGTGGTAAGTATCATAGAGAGAGAAGGGACAAGAAGGCACAGTAGGTAAGCAGGACAGACTCTGTGGTCACAGTAAAGTATCTGGCTTGATCTCTGAGTAAGATGGGCAGCCATTGGAGTTTAAAGCAGAGTGACCCAGTACAACTTTATCTTACAGGATATTTTATGTCTGCTGTCATTCTTTTATTTATTCTCTCTTCCCCACTATACTGTCCTGAAATATTTCTCCTCAAGAAGCAGATATAATTTAAGAAATGATTATCCATTGAATTTGACACAGGCATGGCTAGTTATGATCTTTGCTAATGAAGGGTCTTCTTATCCCTGATGCCATCATTTTTGAGGAAAAGAAGCCTTGAATGATGCTTTAGTCTGTGTGAGGGCTGATCAAACTGTCCATTCCATGAGCATCCTGGACCCAGTTTAAGAAGGCCAGTGCCATGAAGACTTCATAAAGTATACCTCAGGTCTTTGCTCTCTCTCTTTGAAGAAACAGTCATTTATTTATGGATCATTTGTGCCAGAGTGATGATATAGTTCCTAAATGCTGGCACATAATCAAGAAACAACTAATACACTCTAGAACCCTCATCTTTGTGGAAATATATTGCCACGGCCAGCATGGGGAAGGAGTCAGGTGAGAGACTGAAGACGCAGGGAGACTGATTGCACAGGAGGCAAAAGGCGATTTATTAAAGGACTCCAGAGTTTTTATAGTGTTTCAAAACAAAGAGCAGTACAAGTCACTTCAGGACACTTTCTTGTGCATGCAGCAAAGGTAAACATGTTCCTGGGCCCATGAGAAACTTCTTTGTTTATGTTATGAAGCTATTCCCAGGTTCATATTAGCACGATGCTTTGTCTAGAAGGCTGAGGTTAGTGCAGGATAAGGAACTGGTTGAGGTCCAGCTTCAGTGTGTGGTTTTCCACACCTGTTCACTGCCAGATCCCTGGTTCCTGCTCCCAACATATCCCCCTTTCTTCTTAAACAAAGCGTCGCATGGGAATTTCGTTAGCAGTTGATTCTAACTTAAAACGTTTCAAGTCTAGACACACATTTCTCATTTGCCCAACAACAATTATCACAAGATATGGAAAAATTGTTATCATGGAGATAAATGCTAGAGCTCCAATCACATAGACCTTTGTAACATATAGTATAATTATGATGGCACAAAAGCCATGAGGGTCCATATACACTTTTGCTTGGGTATTTTTGTTTACATTCTGGAATATGCTCAGGGGGATTGTCTTTTCCCACTCTAGTTTCACTACTGTTGCGAAATATATACATCATATCTACTCCCCAGTGCGTTCCATTAGCAAAGTTTCCATCCCAATCAGAGTATCTTTCTATTAATGTACAATTCTCATTTGCTTTAGAAAAACATAAGGGTAATGAAGTAGACATTCCAGTGTAATTATATACAATAGAGATAGGTTGTATATGAGTGGAAGAAGGAAAACTTAAGACTCGAGTATTATTTACATAAACAATAACATCATTGTTGTCACCCCATGACATAGGGTGCAACAAAGGAGGATTAGGTACAAATGCCCAATAATTATCCGCCCACACAGATATATGAAATGTATGCAAAACCCAAATAATGCTTAACAGTTGAGCCAAAAACAGAAGGGTTTCATTTCTTGTTGCAGGAGGCCTTCTGGTCATTGTTCTCGTCCTCGAGGTCATGGTTAGTCGAAGCATCTTCCTGTGCAATTTTTCTATCTTGCTCTTGAGCATGTCGTACACAACGTTCTGGGATCCACCTGGGTGTATCAGCGTCTGTGGGAAAAACACAAACATATCCTCCTCCCCATATCAGTACTGGGTCAGAACCATGTAATTGATTAGTTAATGGGTCTTTTCAATAAACCATTGGTTTGGAGGGCAAATCAGGAGACCAATGTCTCTCAACTGCAGATCTGTTGTAAGCATCAAAAGTTTAAAAATTAAGAATGTAAAAGCATGGTTAAGAAGGGTTTTGGGAGAATACTTATACCATTACATGGGGCTCAAACCCACGACCCTGGGATTAAGAGTCCCATGCTCTACCAACTGAGCTAGCCAGGCTGCTCATAACAGGGTGGCTCAGAGAGTGGTGGTGGAGCAGAGGGCAGGGGTGGGTATAAGGAGGATGCCACATTCTCTGTGGATTTGGTTTTTCTTATAAAACTTTCTCGAGTTCTTTTTTCCCATTTACTAGACTCAGAGTCCCCTTTTAAACAGTCCTAATTAGAGTCCAAATCGGAAACACCTCCACAGGGACCTTCTCAGGGCCCCAAGCACAATAATAATCCTTAATCTTTTCTCCTACTGCCTTCCAAGTCTCAACATTTATTGTCCCTTGCTCTGGAAACCAGGGGCAAACCTGATGCACAAAATCAACAAACCGATAAATTTGGAGCTTAGCTACAGGAATGCCCCTCCTCTTTAACAAAGAGGAAATAACTTGTTCAAAAAGTTCCCGTTCTAAAGACGGGGAATGACCCATTCTCAATCCTTGTGTATATGCCACTCCCTGTTACTTTCGCTTTCACTTACCCGGGTCCTCATAGCAGCGGTCTTCTCGGAACTCCCGATTCTCCTTCCACTGGAGGAACGCTCTGAATGCTTGTATTCCAAGCCCCACGTTCAGGCGCCAGGTGCCGCGGCCAGTGCGGGGAAGGAGTCAGGCGAGAGACTGAAGACACAGGGAGACCAATTGCTCAGGAGGCAAAAGGTGTTTTATTGAAGGACTCCAGAGTTTTTATAGTGTTTCAAAACAAAGAGCAGTACAAGTCACTTCAGGACACTTTCTTGTGCATGCAGCAAAGGTAAACATGTTCCTGGGCCCATGAGAAACTTCTTTGTTTATGTTATGAAGCTATTCCCAGGTTCATATTAGCACGATGCTTTGTCTAGAAGGCTGAGGTTAGTGCAGGATAAGGAACTGGTTGAGGTCCAGCTTCAGTGTGTGGTTTTCCACATCCATTCACTGCCAGACCCCTGGTTCCTGCTCCCAACAATATATTACTTGTTATTTTAAAAAATCATTTGTGCCAGAGTCAGAGGATTGCATCTTTTCTCATGTTGGCACATGTGAGACAAAGGGAAGGTCATTTTCACTCCTTCAAAATTGAAATAAAGACTTTTAAAGCTGAATTCTATCAGTTGTTTTTTCAATCCCATTATCTTTTGGGGGTACAGTCACACAAGATATTAAATCTCTTTGAAGATGTTCTTAAATTATATTCAAAATTTTTAGCTATTTATCTGAGACATTTTAAATATAAATATTCCATTGTATGCCATCTTTTCCAATTTTTTTTGTCACCTGTGAAAGTGAGTCAGTGTTACCATGACTTTTTACTTTCCAGGCTTTTATTTTCTTACATAGTGTAGACATAGTGAAAGTACATAGTTTGAAACATTTAGAATCAAATTTTTCTGGATGTTTAACCTCTAGTATGGTAGATGAGTTTTGGGAAGACATTTAATTCATGAGGCTTCTGATTACTTATTAAAGGATTAATATTGATTATTTGTGATCTGGCCACTTTAAAATCAAACACTACTGCAGTTATTAAATGTGTTGATGTTTTGAAGGCAGTATGAGACTGTCATACCATCTTTAGTTTTTTCTACTTTATGATGTATGAAAAATATGTACTGCTTGAATCGTTCAAACTGTATTTTAAAAAGAAAAAAGCTCCAATTGATGAAAGTAAGAAAAAGTTTAAAGCTAAGGTTGAAAGACTTAAAGGGAGTATATCTGGAAGACATATAATTTAGATTCATCCAACAAATTGGCTCCAGGATTAGACTAGGAAATGCATAATCCTAAATAAAAATAAAATTCTGAGTCGATTTTTTCTTTCTCAAGGCTGTGAATCATATGATATGGAATTTTATGTTTTATTTAGGTTAGAACCTTAATACTTGATATTAATGGAGTAAGTGAAATGTAAAATGATATTCATTTAATCTTTATTGGAAATTTTGCTTTCAGAATTTGGCAGTTCTGTTCAGTGGCACAGATGAGAAGCTTAACGCTAACACTTTTTGGGAGAATTTTAAAAAATTCACAGCTGGTCTGGTTTGTGTTATCTCTTTAGGGCCAAGGTATTTGAGAATGCCGTACTCTCAAGCATAGGTAATTTTGATGTGTTCTTCAAAACCAATGGTAGAAACTGAAAAACACTTAAAAATAAATCTCCCAATAATTCATTGTTTGATAAATGGTGGCAGTAGATGGTTACCCTGTGTGATTCCTGTACTGGAGTAAACTTACATAAATTTATCTACACACACAGCAAAGGATCTTTCACCAATCTTTCCTAGTGGTAGTACTAATACTCATTGAGCATTTAAGATTTGGCAGGCATTGTGGAGTATCCATGAAAACATATTAAAATCTAATGAAAACAGGTAGTGAATTCTCTTCAAGCCATAAGTTTACTCTTTTACTTTTTTCTTTCAGATTTCTTATTGTGAAAGAAAATTGTTCTAAATAAAATCTCTAATAATATTTTAGAGAAATTTTCTCTTTCTCTAACATATGTCATGTGCAGATGTCTTCCATGAGATGTTGTCTTACTTATTCAATCAAAAGTGATGCATTTTCAAGGTTTTTCCCTGAAAGTGGACTTGAGCAGTTAGTAGATGTGTTTTTTTTTTTAAATTTTCTTTATGGGTGACTGCACTGCCCTCATAGTTACATGGTACACACATTGATTAAATATGACCATTTGCCTTAGGATTTTTATCCCCAAAGGGCTTTTCCATTGTGCCATAATGCAAGATCAGGGTTTTTTCCTAAGATACTTCCAGAGTTAGACTTATTTGCGGGGAGGCATTTTAACCTCAATTTTACTGTTTTACAATGTGAGTAAAAGAATTCAGACTTCACTTATTGGGACAGGAGTGAGCAATAAGACAGAAATAGTGTTTTAGGAATGATGCAAAAAACATGCCAATTAAACTTGCCAAGCCTAGACCTTCTAAAGCTTCTTGTTTGGAAGATAACCAATAGAATTCAGAATAATTATTCTATTATTATCTATTATTTATTGAGAATTTGTTATATATTGGATATGATGCTAATGAGTTTACCTTCATTTTTCTAAGATAGTTCAAGACTATAAAACAGAAATTGTTCAGAGAAGTCAGGTACTTTATCCAAGATTATACTGTTGATAGGTAGCTGAACTTGTCTCTTTCCAAAATTTATACTTCTAAACACTCTATAATATTCTTCTCCATGAAAATTACTTACATTACTGCAGTATTTGTGTAGGGTTAGTAGGTCATAACTATTGATGCCCTTCTTTATGATGGGTATCTTTAGCTAAGGGAAATCTCCAAGGGTTAAGATAAGTTACCTCTACTTCACGGGGGTTTTCAGTATTTTTTTTTTCAGCTTGGAGCTCCATTGCCAGTGAAATTATAATGGGTATCTTGACCAGTTGGTCTTATAAGTTTCTTTTCACCTTAAGATTTTACTGTTCCTCAGTGCTGTTGGAACTTTTCCATGTCTCATATAAAGCACTCTGTTTTAGATTCTGCTTGCATTTGCTACTATTACTACTATTTTTATATTTCTATATTGAGAATAATGTAGCTTTTCTTTTTTACTGCAATTACTATAGCCATCAATAACAAAAAAAGCTGAATATGTGGCTAAAGGACATTTATGAAGAAGACCAGATATAAAAATACAAGTTATCATTGTCTTCTAAAATAATCACATTTAAGTACAAAAATGGAGAATCTAAAGAAGTTTGTGGCACACTTAGCTTTATTGAAATTGAACAAATGCTTTTTAAAATAACCCCTTTTACAGCACATGTAAAATTTAATTATATCCTTATATTTTTACAGATTGTGTTTTATCTGAGTAAGCAAAAATACGTCTTTTTTTTCTTACTTAAAACATGTAGCCAGAATTTAAACCACGTAGCTCTGGTACCAAAAAGGCAACGGGTTATGAAAATCACAGTACAATTTTAAAATTTCTTAAGTTAATCAAGGATATTTAAAATGATATTCGCTTAGATTGACAGTAGAAATTATGAGTCAGTCAACATTAGGACTAGAAGTTACATCTACAATGAGAGCAGAAATGGGAAGTTCAAGCTAATCTGAGCTACGCCATTCAGGACACACCATCTCCGTAAGTACTGCTGCCCAATGGCTAAAATGGTTAAATCACACTTGGGCACTTCAAGTCACGCATAAACATAGCAAAAAATTTTATATATATATATATATATATATATATATATATATATATTTATAGAGAGAGGGAGAGAGAAAGACATTAAGAGTGAGAGAGAGTACACTGACTTGGATCTAAAATAAAATGAGCATCTGTTTTACGAGGGCATCTTATTAAATAATTACACAATACACAATTTCAACCCCAAAATTACATCTAGGAAAAAAATAATATTAAAGTGCACACCTACATAGATAGTACAGTAGAAATCTGTTCCTTGTCATTGTTTTTTGTCATTGTTTTTGGATAAGTAGAAATACTTTACGACCCACGAAAGAATTCGTTGGGTGAAACACTTATTACAGACATTGTAAAGAACATAGCTTAGGAGGCTTATTTTAAAAATGAGGCAGCATTTTCCAGAAAAGGTTTGGTCCTCAACTCACTATAGACTAGTCACTATGGTCAGATGGTAAGCATTTTCAGGGTGTGTGTGTGTGTGTGTGTGTGTGTGTGTGTGTGTGTGTGTAGCTGTGTGTTTTAAGCTTACTTTTCAGTACCAGAATTAGTTCAAACCAAACCAAACCAAACCAAACCAAACCAAAAGGTAGTCAGCCCTTGAGAACTTGACCCTGCATGTCATGTCTGATTGATGTGTCATCTTAAAGAACAATGCTACAGACTATAGATGGGAATTATGCTCATGTGATTCTGCAACATCTTACTTTTGTGCAAACAGTTTTCTTCATTGCCCACATAACTTTTTCATGTAGGTACCAGGAAGCCCACCCCCCTCAGGTTTGCCCTCCCCCCTCCCTCAGTCTTTTCCTCTGTCAAAGTGATATAAAGACAATTTCACTGTGTATTTACAAGCACAACACTTTAGGCGAGAAGGTCCCAGCATCTGTAGGGCACATCTATTTCTTGTGGACATCTTCATGCCGAATGATCTTGTATGTGATCCAGTAAAAGATGTTGAATATGAGGAAGGCCAGTGGGAAGGCAGCTCGAGATATTGTGTCAATCCTTTTTGCCCGGTCCACAAACTTCTTCTTGATAGCATCTGCATCTTTGGGTGGTTGTGGAAGTGGGTTGGCAGGTGTGGCCTTGACAGCTGTTCCATCTTTCACTTGGAGGCAGTGACCCATCCCATAACCACTGAAATTAAAACGGCTTTCACGAGTCACATCTTCTTCCTGGTATAGTAAAGACAGAGGAAGCATAAGTTGATTTTCAATCAAGTTCGATGGAAGATGCTTAAAATTCTTCATAAGTAAAAGGATAAATCACAGTTGATTGTTAGTGTGGGAAGCTTTTGGAATGGCGAGTTACTTTTCAAGTTCAACTCCATTATTCATGCAACACATACAGTTCATTAACTTCTCAGCCTGAGAAATTAAAAGTAAGAATAATGACTTTGTGGTCATTTTAATTAGTTACCAAATATAAACATTATGCCATATTTTAGTATTGACTTCCCGGAAACCTAATTCATTAATCCATAGATATGAATAGATTGTTTTACAGCTAGTTCTCCAAGTTGTAATATTATACTACAGATCAATGAAGAGGATTATTCATTTATTTGTTCATTTTGTCACTCATTAACACACACACACACACGCACACACACACACACACACACACACACACACACACACACACATTTACTGAGCCTCTCCTATGAACCTGGCTCTGTATTAGTAACTGGCCCATCTGCAACCAAGTTTTTCCATTAACTTTGGCTTCAATATTAATGTTAGATCTAAGATGGACTCCTCATATGCTCTAATTCATTCTGTTATATAGCAGAGATTAAATATTCATTATTTGTTGTGAATATTTCTACCATGGCCAATCTTTTCAGTGTTGATTTTTAACACTGAAATTTTTGCCAGCGAATCATCTCTACCACATTTAAACATGTGTCCTTTCAGCTAGTGTTAATAGTATTTCTTTTTTATTATTTCTTCGTTGATTAGATAAAAGACTGAAAATTGTATTTATGGCTTGGTATAAAAAGAAAATAGCCTTAGAGACAAACATGCAGGACCTGGATATGTGATTGAGTCAAAAGAGGGAATCAAATAGTGGTGTTGAAAAGTTCAGATTGAAATAAACTGCTTAATACTAAGTTAACCATAAATATCCATTGGTTGGATCATCTTCTTTTGTAACTAGATTACTGCCTTGACAATACCATGCAACCCCTGCTGTATTCTTTATCTTATGAGATAATAATAATGATTATAAGATAGAGACTTTCAGGGATAAAGGGCAGTTGCACTGCTGGGCCCCAGCTCAGGACTGTTTGCTTACTGAAAGTATAGTATGTACTATTCTTTACCCCATCACTCTTACAAACAATCCTATTGACCTCAGTAACCAGATGAATTATTACAGCCAGGATGGCTTTGGCATAGTGTCTCCAAGAATAAACTTGGTGTGGAAGTAAAGCTACTGGGGATCATTGCAGAGGGGCAGAGGACTAACAAGCTTGTGGGCCCTTAATCTGTTACTCATTAAAAGCATGGTTTCTTTTCCCTCTGAGGTAGAAGAGGCAAAGATATAAAGCTATGTTTGTTAAAACAAAGAACCAAACCTCCACTTGGGTCTATAGGTGTACGGTGGGTAGTAAAAACTGAACAGAAATTGACGTTCCAGTAGCTGGGAATATAAATCAGTGGCCAAAGCACCTGCCTGGAAAGTGCAAAGTTTTTAGTTCAATCCCTGGTAGCAAACAAACAAACAAAAAGTTGACACCTGTGTTTTTATTTTGTATGTCTCCTTTATTACCTTTAAACTTTGAATCAGATCCCTACTCAGCTCCTCAAATAGGCGTGTTAATCACTAAAGGAATGCCTGTCTAAAAATTGTTAATTCAAGGTTTATTAGTCCTAAATTTATCTAACCTAGCTCACTCCACTTTGAGACTAGAACATCAAGATAAGAGATTTGCATGGACATTCAGCTACCAGAGTTTATGATATTTTGTTCCAGGCCCCCTGGAATAGGTACCTATAAGTCTTCAGTCATTGCGTTAAACCTATAGTCACCATGGATTCTAGTAGTGCCTCCATAAGACTGAGACTAACCCCTTTCCCCCAAATAGGAACAGTCGTCACTGGATACTAAATTGCACACAAGCCCTAAGGATTTCTCAGCGCTGTAACAAAAGAACTGAGATAATGATGAACTACATCCTAACCCAGTGCAGCATCCTATAAAACTGGTCCTTTTTTCTTTCTTAATCAACCAGCTTGATTTTCTTCATCAAAACTGTGCCTTCTTCATCTACTCAAGCCAGTATTTTCCACTTTTATCTTACTTTCCAATTAAAATTTTGTTTATAAATTTATGTTGTTGCCTTTGTTTTAATTTTGATTATCATTGAAGCAAGGAATTGGGCTACCTGGTGACAGTTCTTTCGCAAAATACAAGAAAACTTTGTATGAATTGCATTTTACCATTGTTAAATCGATGCCTTCAGCTATATACAAAAGCCATACTAAATGGAGAACTTTTATCATAATATGAATCAGAGTTTGACTGTAACCCAAAACATGAGAAAAGGACAAACTGTATCTTGAACACTAATGAGATTTGTAAGTTCAACAGACTATCCTAAGATAAGTAAGGAATGTGTGAAGAGGTTTTTCAGTTAATTAAACTTCACTGAGTATAAACTTGGGAGTGAGAGAACACATGGCTTAAAAAGAAGTGCAAGGACTTCAGAATGGTTTGATTAGACTTTAGTGTATGTCCTCAGCTGAGTGACTTCATAACCTAAAAGGAGGATAGATTAGCTTCCATGTGACTCATTTTGCTAGATTAGTAACCAGGTTCTGCTTCCTTCTGTGGGAAGTACATGCAGCCTGCAAATGAAGACAAAAGTTCAGGAGTCCTTGGGGCCCTTGGTTGATCAGCATTGTCATTGTGATACAGTATCTCTGGTGAGGATAATTCAGAACATGGCTGATTATTGAACTGCAACTTGGCAATGAATTGGAATTTGAGCTGCGTGGATAACAGGTGTGAATAATTGCTAAACACTTCATGTCACTCTTCCACGTAGATCTGGTCTCTAAGAAAATCAGGCTAGAAAACAGAGGGTTCATTTACTTGATATGTTATTAATTCTTATTAATGAATGCTTCTAGTGTAACCAATAAAACACATTCATTATATACTTTAATCAGCCCATTTATAATTACAAAATGCAGTCCAAAATTCTTGTAAAAATAACTGTGAACCTACTACATTGTAAAGTTATGTTTGAATTATTTTTATTTATGTGACATTGTCCTACAAAAGTTGGTTCAAGGCACTCTGCCTCATTTTTTAATAAAAAATAATAAAGGATTTTTCCTTCATCAATTAATTGTTGAGTGCTGAGTCTAGGACAAACATTGTACCACATTCTAGGAGACAGTGAATGAAGTTAAACAAGGCCTCTACTTGCATGGAATTTTCAGAATTCAGTAGAAGAAGCCAAAAGGCCAAAATTATGTCAGGAAGCTGGCAAAGAATATTTAGTCTGAAATTTGGATATTTATATGCATGCAGCTATGTAAACTCAATTATCAAGATTTAAATTGAACTCAGATTCAAATAATGTTTCCTTTCCCTTAAAATGTAAATGATATATTTTATGAATGCAAGAGTTTCAAATAAGGGAAGTTTTTTTTTAGAAATGTGCAATTAACAGGTATATTAATCACTCAGATTTCCATAACCATTTGAATACTTAGTTATTAGCAAGAAACAAAGCACACTGGATATAAGGAGGAGGACACTTGATTTCACTTGGGTAATACATAGTCTGAACTTCTTAACTATTGTAAATTGGTTAATTAGGTCCCAACCAGTGTGTTAGTGAAGTAGAAATTGTGTAGTTTTCTTTAGCAAAGACAGATCTAGACTGGCTGATAACCTCTATTTACATTAGGCAAACTACTTTCAGGGGCTTTGTATTAAAAATTTCAAGGGTGCCCCTAGAGCTGTGCATTTTAGCTTTGGTTGCTATAAACATTTTAAAACTATATTTATATTGGTCCTTCCTCCCAGCTCCTTTCAGCCCAAATGAATCAGAATCAGGGAAGAGAATTAAAAACCTATGTTTCTAAAAAGCCAGTGATTCTAATACAAAAGAGTTGGAACTAGATTGATGAGTTCTAATGTTCACCTCTAAAATGCAAACCTGTTCTTTTTTTATTTTGAAAAGAGCAAAACCAAATGAGAAAGAAAACAAACAGGATCATTCAAAACAAAAGGATGATTAAAACCTAAATACAAGGTGATTTGCAATGGTTACTATGATGCCTCTGGTTATCTTCAATAGAATTGTCTATATCATCAGGCATAGTAAAATTGAACACAGTAGTACAGAACAATATCAATAAAAACATAGCATTGGAGACATTATAGAACTTCAAAAGCCTTCAAAACCCTTTTTACTCCTGAGCTTGATCTAAGGTTTTATTCCTTTACCTACAAAAGCCTGAAGCCTCAAGATTTTCCTTCATTACAGCTAAATAGGGGCTGGGGATTTAGCTCAGCGGCATAAGCACCTGCCTTGCAAGCAGGCAGTCGTTAGTTCGATCCCTGATACCGATAAAAATGAAAAAGAAAAAAAAAACATTATAGCTAAATAGTTCACTGCAATAAAGTGTCATGTCTTTCCAACCTATCTTCAGCTGCTGGAGCTACACCTATTTCTCCCTAGTTCCCTGTCACATAGAGCGTTATTTTCTTATCTTTGACTTTCAGTTCATAAACCCTCTTTCAGGTTGATTGTATTTCCTATTCACAATACCTTGATAGACCCTATCTCCTGACCTACTCTGCCTGTGTTTCTTTTTGTTAGTGTATCAAGTCCATCTATGTTAGAGATTATAGCCAACCTTCTCTGCCTCATCTCTGCTATGTTATTTTTCTGCCATTGGTTGTCTACTTTCTCCCCTCATTCCACTGTCTGCCCTGTTCATTGAGGCCTCTCTGCCACTGTTTCTGAAATCCTGGTGTTTTTTTTTTTTTCTCTCTCTAGAAGGTCCAGTATTTTTTATAGGGTTGGATTGGTGGTCACAAACTCCCTCAGTTCCTTTTTGTCATGGAAACATCTTATTTCTCCATTAATTTTGAGAGATAGTTTTTCAGGGTACATCAATCTGGGGTGGAGGTTAATTTTCTTTCAGGG